GGAGAAGAGTGAGGCTTGACCTGGAATCGTTGAGAGGGAATAAAGGATTCCATGCCAGCCTGAATCCATGAAGTTATGTAAGAAGCACATTTGTCAACAGGGAGACGAAAGATTTCTACCCAGGGGCCATCACAAAGAAAGTCACGAAAAGAGTCCCAGTCAGCTTTAAGGTAGTTGTAAGATGTACGATGATAGGGGGATTCTAATGGTAAAGAAGAATGAGATAATAGTTTTAGAGAGACCAAACCATGATCAGACGCACCTAAGGGTGAGTGTGAAGAAACTGAACACTGACTAGGATCAGAAACAAGACATAAGTCGAGTAGAGAAGGTAAATGATTCGGGTTGTTTGGAAAGCGAGTTGGAAAGTTGACTATTTGAGTTAGGGATTGAGAAAGACAAAAGTTGTGGGCCTTAATGCCTGCAGAGTCACTGACACTAGAGCCAAGCCATTCAGTGTGATGAACATTAAAGTCACCGACAACAACAATATTGGCTGATGGATAAAGAATGAGGGCTTGGTCAATATAATCAGAAATAACATCAAGAAGAGTGCAGTCTTGGGATGAGGGAGAGCGATATAGAACAAAGAGAAAGGTGATAGAGTGAAGTGGTGCTAAACGAAAGCACATAAAAGAGTAGTCTGTGGATTCAAACCTAGTTTCCCGACAAATGGGTGAATTCTTACGAATGTAAATGCCCAGGCCAAGCATGTGACTATTGGAGTCTTTACGAATTAAAGGAAGATAACCATGAACACTAAGATCACAAGATGAGACAGCTGAACTCAAATTAGTCTCACAAAGAGCAAGCAGGTCTGGTGAACTTTGCAAGAGATAAGACTCAACAGAAGAAAAGTTACTTCGAAGACCACGAATATTGGTGAATGATAGGTTTAGTGAACTTGGTGATGACTGTGGTTTTTTGTGTTTTATAGTTTTTGTTACTTTATTCATTTTTAAATTTGTTAAAGAACTTGACTTGAAACATAGATAGTACTCAGTACACTGTTCTATAGCTAAGCAATTGCATCATTTCCACTAATAAACCCTAAGCCGTAACAAAGGGCTTCAATGTGGCCTTGGCAATGCACACCAAAAGTACAAACAGGGACACCATCCATGCGCAACATGGCACTGTTAGTACTCTCATATTTTTCAGCTGTTGATGAAATCAGCCTCTCTGAGAGCTACCACAAAGTTCGGGAAACCTGACTACCAGCCGGCCTCAGAACCATAAAACTGAGTTTTAGAGCTGTACCCTCATTTGGAGATAATAGAATGAGTTGCCTAGTCATAAAAACAGAGACACAAGCAAAACTCATGAATCGAGTCAAGAAGATCCAGCGTTCAACATCCTAAACTGGAAACAATGTAATAAAAATACATCTGTGCCAGCCTAATAGATGACGAAGGGGTGCGAGGCTGGTCAACAGATAGAATTTGTTTATCCCTTAAGTCTTTGCCTAGGAGGCCTTCTACAAGACAGCAGCTGAATGCATGTAGCATCTGCCCAAGATGAGTATTTTTATCGAGACACCATCTCTAGCCTTTACTCAACCAAGAGCCCCAAGGCAGGGGGTGTTTTATGTCGGAGTTTGCATCTCCTAGCCTTTGCCTAAAAAGGCATATCCTACAAGGCGGCAGGACATGAAGCAGATTGTACTTGGTTACATGTTACCAGTAGCAGGATAAACCTGACCTGACATATATATATATATATATCTTTTTTTTTATATCTTTCATGTATATATCTTTTTTTTTTATATCTTTGATATATAATTATATATATATATATATATATATATATATATATATATATATATATATATATATATATATATATACATTTTTTATATATCTTTGATATATAATTATATATATATATATATGTGCTTTCGCCTAGCACCTCTTCACTCTATCACCTTTCTCTTTGTTCTTTATCGTTCTCCTTCTTCCTATGATTGCACTCTTTTAGATGTTATCTCTGATCAAATTGACCATGCCCTCTCTCTTTACCCCTCTGCCAATATTGTTGTTGTTGGTGATTTTAATGCCCATCACACTGAATGGCTTGGCTCTAACACCACTGATCCTGCTGGCACTAAAGCCTTTAACTTCTGCGTTTCTCAATCTCTTACTCAGATAGTTAACTTTGTGACTCGTTTTCCTGACAACCATAATCATTTACCTTCACTCCTCGACTTATGTCTTGTCTCTGACCCTAGCTTGTTTTCAGTTTCTCCCTTTTCTCCCTTAATTGTTTCTGACCATGCAATGATCTCTATAAATCTTTCTTCTTGTACTTCTTTTTTGGGCTCACCTTATCATTGCACCACCTACTACTACCCTAAAGCTGACTGGGATTCTTTTTGTAATTTTCTTTGTGATGGTCCTTGGGCTGATGTTTTTTCTCTCTCAGCTAATAAATGCACCTCCTACGTAACCTCCTGGATTCAGGCTGAAATGGAAGCTTTTTCCTTCTTGTCGGTTTCAAGTCAAGCCTCATTCTACTCCATGGTTTTCTCATTCTTGTGCGGCTGCTATATCCAATCGTAATCATTTTTTTCATCTTTTTCGAAAGAACAACTCTCTTGAGTACAAATGGCTATTTATTATTGCAAGAAATCGATGTAAAAAGGTGCTTTCTGATGCTAAACTCCATTATTCTCAGTTCACTAAATCTCATTAGCATTATTAACAAGGGTAGATCTAACATTCCATCTCTCATTCATGGGACTGATCTTATTACCTCTCCCAAAGATAAGGCGGAACTATTTGCAAAGAGCTTTTCTTTTAATTCCACTCTTGAATCTTATGGACATTCTCTTCCTTCCATTCCAGTCAAACAGGTTGAGCCATTGTTAGATATTTAAATCACTCCGGCTTCTGTTGCTATCTCATATCTCAATTAAACTCGTCTACAGCTTGTGGTCCTGACAACATTCCTGTTACAGTCTTGCAGAATTGTTCACCAGAACTTTCTTCAATTCTCTCTAAACTATTTAACAAGTGTTTGACTGAGTCTTGTTTTCCTGCTTGTTGGAAAATGGCATCTGTGGTTCCAATATTCAAAAACTCTGGAGAAAATTCTGACCCCTCCAATTATCGTCCGATCAGTCTTCTTTCTGTTATTAGCAAGGTCTTTGAGTCTTTGATCAACAAATTTCTCACATCTCATCTTGAGTCAAATAAACTACTGTCAGACAATCAATACGGTTTTCGATCCTCTCGCTCTACAGCCGACTTGCTAACTGCTATAACTGAAAGATTTTATCATGCATTAGATGGAGGCGGTGAGGCTAGGGCTACTGCTCTCGACATATCTAAAGCTTTCGACAAAGTTTGGCATGCTGGTCTTCTCCATAAGCTTGCTTCATATGGTGTTTCTGGGAAAGTTTTTGAGATTATCAAATCATTTCTTTCTGACCGGTTTATTAAAGTCATCCTTGAAGGCCAACACTCTTCTTTATTTCCAGTAACTTCTGGGGTTCCCCAAGGTTCCAACCTGGGCCCTGTTTTGTTTCTTATCTACATAAACGATCTTCCTGACAACCTTTTATCTAAAGTAGCTCTTTTTGCTGATGACTCAACTTTATACTCCTGTCTTGACAAAAAATCTTCTCTTTTCGATTGCCTAGAACAAGCAGCTGATCTTGAATCCGATCTCACTTCAGTAATAGATTGGGGTTCACAGTGGCTTGTGAATTTCAACTCTAAAAAAACCCAGTTGTTTACTGCAAACAACTACCGTAATATGGTCAACATTCCTATTTTAATGAATGGCAATCCTCTTACTGAGTCGTCCTCTTTACGTCTTCTTGGATTATCGCTTACTACTGACCTTTCATGGAAACCATATATACAATCGATTGCTAAATTAGCTTCTGCTAAGGTTGCTTCTCTTTATCGTGCTTGCCATTCCTTTACTTCTGATTCCGTTCTCTACCTCTACAAATCTCTTATTCGTCCCTGTATGGAATACTGTTGTCATATTTGGGCTGGTTCTTCTAACGATTCACTTTTTCTTCTTGACAAGGTCCAAAAACGCATTGTAAATGTTGTTGGACCTGGACTATCTGCTAAGCTTGAACCTCTTTCCCATCGTCGTAAAGTTGCATCTCTTTCTCTTTTCTACAAATAATATCATGGTCACTGCTCAAAGGAGTTATCATCTCTAGTTCCATCAACTAAAATTCATTCTCGTTTTACTTGTCATTCAGCTAAGTCTCATTCGTTTACTGTATCTGTCCCTGCATGCTCTAAAAACTTTTATTCATCTAGTTTTTTTCCCCGCACTTCAATCCTTTGGAACTCTCTCCCATCTTCATGTTTTCCTGACTCCTACAACCTTCAACTTTTCAAGTCTTCTGTCAACCATTTCCTTGCTCTATAACTCTTTTGTTTTTTTTGCTAGTAACTTCCAACTTAATAGTGGTTGCTTACAGCCTTGTTGGGAGTGAATGCAAATAATAAAAAATATATATCTTATAATTATATATATATATATATCTTTGCATAGTAGTCAAAAGAGTCTTTCTTGGTAAATAAATGTTTCTTTCAATGTTTTTTAACATTTAAGCGACCATCAACAATTCAGCAACATTTAAATGTCGCCAAAATGTTAAAACAATTAAATGAATTCAGAAGTATATTAAGTTTTTTTGTTTTTTAAAATATCACAATAATTATGAATAGAATGTTTTTTAATGATGTTTTTGTTTTTTTATTATTTTATACTGTTTTTAAATATTTCCTTCTTGTTCATTTTATTTTTGTTTTATTGACCGGAGTGTATATAAATCAAGTTACAAAATCTTATAATATATTGACTTATATTTTAAAATTAAAAAATTTAAAGTCCTATCAAAAAGTTTTTTTTTTAATCTAACTTTATATATATACAAACATATACACACAAAGTATATTGCACTATATTCACTACACTTATATGGCACTATTTTTATTACAAAATGAAAAATGAATAAAATAATTTTTTAGTTAAGTCTTTGGATGATGAAAATGTTCTAGAAAGTATTGAAGCTTCATTCGAGCGATTTCAACAGTTCTTAGACATGTTAAAAGAGCTTGGGTAAGAATACCTTTAATTCTGTAGGTTTTTAAATGTGGTTTTAAAAAAGTGGGTATAAATAAATTCATTAGTCACAAATAATAAATAGAAAAAAGCAAAGCATATTATGTTTTTTCAAACTTAAAACTTTTAGTTTTTCAGTATTTTCAACTGTTACATATTTATTACATTTTTTCTTTTTCTTTTAGTTTTATCATTAGTTGACCTCCTCAAGCTCATGAAGCATTTGTTGTATACATTATACACAATATTCTGATTTTTTCTAAACTTTAAAAAAGTGCTTTCGTATCTATTAAATATTTATATTAAAAATTTCATCTAATATTTATTAAGTGAATGTTAAAATTATGTGTGTTATTAGTTATAGATATTTAATAATTGCTAATGTAGATATTTTTGTGCATTTCATATTTGCAGTTTATTTCATCAGCATATGGGTGATAATACTAGGGTAGGTCCAATAGGTTTACAAATAGCCTCATAGCTTTTTAATTCAAATAAGACAGTCAGTTTCTCAAATAGCAGCAAGAGTCATGAATTGGGTGCATTGGGTCATTTGACATCAAAAAATTTTGTAGTCAAAAATAATTAGCTGAGCGCAAAGAGCAATTACTCTAGTAAACATTGACATGGAATGCAACGATTCAACAGATTTGGTTGAATCTCTTTCTTGTAGAGTTGCAGAACTATCTATTTCTAGAAGTTTTTTCAAAACTATTCTTATTAAAGACAATTATTTTTTTATTTCTGTTGAAGAGTGTTCTGGAAGCCGATCATATCAGATCACGTTTGAGTTGGTTTAAAACCTGTCTTGTGTCAATGATTTTGCCAAATAGGTGAGCCCTCATTTCGAGTTTCAATGCCAATTCAGGACAAACAATAAAAATCTTCTGCAGGTTGTCCAAAAGCACAGGGGTGAATATTCAAGGTGCAATGTGTGACAATCTTCTAGACAAATAAATTGTTAAAATGAGATAAAGTTTGTGTAAAATCTAAAGGGCAGACAAACTGTACAATTACATTATAGTAGTTTGATGTTTCACATTTTAAATGTTTCTTTTGTTTGATTTTTTGTTTGGTTTGTTTTTGTTTATTTGTGAAACTCTATCTACCAACATATAAATGCTTTGTATAAAAAGTTATATAGAGTAAAACAGAGTAAAATGAAATTGCTGATAGAATGAAATAGTTATGACAATGTTTATTCTTTTGCTCTTTATTAATTATTAGAATTTTCTTAATTAATTATCATTAAACTTAAAAAGTTTCCAAGTATAACTTTTTATGCTGATCAAGAATCTTTTTTCAAAATTAAATTTGCTATTTAAGAAAAAAAGTTATGAGTGAAAAATACAAAAGGAGAATTATAGGGTTGAATGAAATGCGCTAATAATAAGTGACGCAATAGCTCACTTCTTAAATGCTGCTTTTTTTTATTAAATCTCAAGTGACCAATAAATCTCCAACTATAAATTTTTTGTATTGGGAAACTTTTTTAATGAAATTTTTCTGAATTTAAATGAATGACTTTTACTGCCTGCTTTTGTTAAATGATTATAATGAATGAATGAAATACGCTAGTTATTCCCAAAAAGAGGTTAAAAAACAACTGCAATCAGCCCAATCACTTTGCAGCTTTGCAACAAATGTTTCGTATCCAATACATTGACACACAAAAAAAGAAAAAATGTAGATATGCCAAGATTCAAAGGGGAGTGTCTTAACAAACCTGAAATACTTGAAAGGTTGAAAGATGCTGAAAGCAAAAAAGCAGCAAAGCAAGCTAAAAAACAACATAAGTTTAGCTTTAATTGCGAACAGCAAACAAACCAAGCAACAAGTCCAATGAAAATATTAGCGGCAAACCAATTTAAGTGTAAAAAGTGCCGAAAAGTTTTAGGCGAAGCTTCATCAAGCCAAAATATGGAATGTTATCATTGTGAAATATCAAATTGGAGGGTTTGGCTATGTCAAACATGCATACCAAAAGGATACATAAAAGGCGCTGAGTTTTTTTATTGCACCAAAAAGTGCAGCATAACTGAAAACTCAACCTCTAGTACCTCTAAACAACTCAACATCATCACAAGAATAAAAAAAAGTTTATTTAATTGGTTTTTTAATTGTTATTATTGATTGTTTTTTTAATTGTTATTATTGATTGCTTTTTGTTTTTTTAATAAAGTGTTGTTTTATTTACACATATATTTGCTTATTCCATTCTCCCCGAATGTCAGTGTAGAATGGAATAAATTTTTTTTTAATCAAATAAAGTTTCATAAAAAACTAAATATGTAAAAAAAATTCTCTACAATTTTAAAAACAAAAAATCTTTTTTCCGTAAAAAATAAATAATCAAAATCCTTAACTATTTTACTCTATTTCTTGTGTATAAAAAGTGATTTCTTGTGTATAAAAAGTGATTTCTTGAATCTTGATTATTCTAAAAGATCTTTCTAATATTGAAAGACTAGTAACAGTTGTTTGGGTTAGAAGATGTCAATTGCAATTTATGCTAATTTTAGACACCTTATAACTGTATTATAAAAGAACTATGAAAAAAGCTTTTAGGGACTGCATCAAAATTTTAATGATTTTTTTTTCTTGATTGTTATGGGATACCCTAATGTTTAGTCAATTATGATTTCTTGCGCAACCAAATAGTTTTTTTATATTTTTAGTCAACTCAAAGTTTATTTAACTTGTTTTTTTTTATTTAAACTTGTTTTTTTTTATATTCCTGTGTTTGTGAATTTTTAATGAACTTAAGTACTTTCAATTTTTGACATACTTATTAAACTTTATTATTTATTTGTTTTTTAGGCTAGGAGATTTGTATTCACAGCTACAGAAACCTGAAGTTATAAAATAACATTCTTATTTTAAATCAAAATATGAGGAAAATTTTTTTGTTTTTATAATTTCTGTGTGAATAATTTCAGAATTTTTAAATAATTATATATGCTAACAATGTAAAATAATATTAAAAAATTTTGTAAAACTTTTTAAGTATATTTTCTCCCCTCTGTATTTCTTCTTTATTCTTTTAGTAAACTTCTAATTTTAGCATCAAGATTGTAAAATAATTTTTTTATAAAATTTAAATTTTTATTTGGTTGTGAATATAATTTTTTGTAAAAATTAAATGATTTTTTTTTTTTTTTTTTTTTTTTTTTTTTTTTTTTAGTTTGATAAATAGTGTGCATACGTATCTATACACCATTTATCAAGTAGTTTAAGCAAACTTTATGAAATAGCTAAAATTCAATATTGTCTGTTTTTTTTAGATAATTTCATTATTTGCTCTGAAAACGTTGTTAGTTTTTTGTAATTTATATCAAATTATATATATATATATATATATATATATATATATATATATATATATATATATATATATATATATATATATAGTTTTGTTAAACCTAATCTAATATATAGTGCTTTTTATTTATAGAAAAAAAGGTGCTAGAACTCTATTTCTATCATTTGTCAAAAATTTAATCATTCATATATAATGTCATATTCATTCAGTTAAGTTAATCAATTTTAAGTTAGACATTATTAGTGTATTTTATGCATTATTTAGTTTAATGGCTTTTTTTGAAGCCATTAAATTAAATAATGAAAGCGCTAAATCTCCTCACATTATCTTTAAACCATCAAAATAATGATTTTTTTGTTATTTTTTTATTTTGTTATTTTATTTAATTTTTTTAATCATGTCTAATATGTAACATTAGGCTTTAGTTTATTAACTTTATATTTATGATTAATAAAGTTCTTATTTTAAAGAATTCATATTCCTGGCAGTCAAAACATCAGATAAGTTTGTGACTTGATCAGACATTCTAAGCTTTTATTCAAACAATGTTTGATGTCAGACCATTAAATTGTGTTCAGATTTATGTATGTAAGTGCATGATTGAGGGTTTTGGTTTGAGTTGGCATAAAGGGAAAGAAATTGTGTTTTTGTTTTTTGCAAAATTCTTTGTTTTTTTTACATCTTTGTTTGGAAAACAAACTGTAACTGGATCTATAGGTATTTTAGAATTAAAAGTGTGCACTTATGTCTTATAATAAAGTATATATATATATATATATATATATATATATATATATATATATATATATATATATATATATATATATATATATATATATATATAAATGTATGTGTATGTATATATATATATATATATATATATATATATATATATATATATATATATATATATATATATATATATATATATATATATATATATATATATATATATGTATATATATATATATATATATATATATATATCCTATAGTAAAGATCTTACTGTTTGTGTATAAAAAAATGTATTTACTGTATGACATCTAACGAGGCAAAATTAAGGTCAGTTTTATTTTATGCCAAAACGCATTAATTTGATTAAGGAAACTAAATTTTTTATTAAATTTTTTATTTTTATCAAAAACTACAAAACACAAATTAAAAGACTAGGATGTTTTTTAAACATTTTAAATGTTTTTAAAAACATACTGAATGTTTTTTAATTAATTTTTTTTAAAAATAAAAATATTCTGTATGTTTTTATTTTTTTTTTTTTTTACTGTAAAACATGTGCGGAATGTTGCTACATCAACATATATATCAATCTTATAGCCTGCTGCCACAAGAAAGTTTGAAAAAAATAAATTTTTCTTTAAAATTCTCTACAAAAAGTTTTATTTTTTATATAGTGTTTTGAAAAATTATTTGTTTTTTAATTTTAGAAAATCAATATTATTCATTAAGAATTTTTTTTTCTGGTTTTAAACAAAATAAATTTAGTTTTTTTTTTAATTTACTTTTAAATTTTTTAACAACTTATGGTAATTAGTTTTAGTATTTATACTTTATTGTATATACTAAGTGTATACAATATAAATTTTTTAATAATTTATTTTTTAATTTTGAGGAATATTTATTTATGGTTTTTGCAATATCAAGACATGGTTGTTGAAATTGATAAATTGATTGAAGAAGTATTTAACTTAAATATGGTAGCTTATTTTAAGTAGATTTTAGTTTACTTTTTGGAATACCATTTTTAATTATTTTATTCATTGTCATAGTATGTATTTATTTAGTTGCTTACACATCATTTCTAATCAGACCATCAGAGTATCATACATGATGACATTTTAAATCAGGCTATCAGGGAATCTTACATAACAACAACATATCTAATCAGGCTATCAGGGTATCTTACATAATGTCATCATTTTAAATCAAGCTATCAAGTATTTTACAGGTTGATAACATTTCTAATCAGGTTATCAGGGTATTACAAAGAAAAAATAGTAAGAAATACTGCATGAAAGGGTTTTTGAAAAAACTTTTTATTTTCAACTAATAAATGTGATTTACTTGTAATTTTGTTTCATATTTTTTATTTTTTATTTTTAAAATACAATTAAATCTTTGCTAAGTTTATCTAACATTTTTGTTGTCAGAAATATGATTAGTTAAAAATTGAAAAGAAGGAAAAGCAAAAAAGTACCCGCAAAGCATGTCTGTTTGTCATATTATACTCAATATTCAATTTTTAACAAGAAAAAAACAGTGCACTCAATATTGCCATAAGCTCTTATTGAGTTTAATCATTTTTGATCAATATTTTTATAAATAGTTGATGGGGCTTTAAATTCCAACGATAAAAAAAAACTGAAATTTGAAGTTCCTGTATCAAAACAAGAACTAAAAATCATGGAAAAATATTTAAGATAATTAAATAAAACACTGATAGTGTTTCATGTTTTTTCCTTATTCTCTTTCTTTGTTACTTTTTGTTCCTGTGAAAGGAAATTGATTGAGTTTTACATCTTCCTTTTTTCTGACTAGCATTTTAAGCATCACTCATTATACAGTCATTATAATTAGCTGTTTGTTCAAATGCCAAGCATAGTTCTGCATGCTTAATATTGATTGACCTTAGAATATGTTTCATTGAGTTACTCAGATACTGTTTAGTTTTAGTGTTAAAAAAGAATGAAAACAAATGGGGTAGGATAATATGAATAAAATGTAAAGTTAAAAATGAGCAAAATAAAATACTGAGAAGTGGCTATGTGGAGCGTGTAGAAAAAGTGTCAAAGCAAACTCTTTATTTGTACAGTTTATAAGCATGATATGTAATTGGTTTACATGGTAACAAGGTGCTCTTAATAATATTAGTTTTGACTTTGATTAAAAAAGAGCTTGAACTAGTGTTGGAAAATAGAATATGTTAACAGTACTTGTTATGTTATAAATACAATTAGCAGGTGGATCAGAAAAGGCATTAAGAGCAAGAATAAGGTGTGCCTGTTCCAAATTCAAAAAAAGCAATGATTTTAGGCAGAGATTGGAAATAGTGAGCATATCTGCATTAGAGATAATTAAGGTGGTTGGGCAATGTAAAGCGTGAAAATGCAAATGATCGAGTATCTGCTTGATAGATAGCGGTTTCCAAAGAAAAAGTTAAATAAAGGAAAACTTGAGGAGAAAGAGTTACCAGTAGCCTAAGAACAGGTGGGACAAAAAAAGAGTGGAGATAATAATTTAGAAAGAGTGGATAATAATTTAAAGAACACTATAGTAGTAGTATAAAAATTTGAATATTGCAATCGTAGTTTTTACTTTTAATCAAGACATAGCAATAAAAAATTATGATGAATTTAGTAAAGTTGTATTAAAATGTTGATACTAGTGACTATTGCTGTATGTATAAATGTTGATACTAGTGACTATTGCTGTATGTATATTAAAATGTTGACTAGTTTACTTATTACTCATTGATAATGTAGTTTCAGCCTTTTAATGTAGTGATTTTAAACAAAAAAAAAATTAAATTTTTTTGTCATTTTGTTTTAAAATATTCAAAATAAAATGGGAAAAAATCAATATTTTTATGTAATATGTAGATAATGCCAATCAAGATATTATAAATCACAAAGTGCATTACTAATCTTCATGATTCGATAAGTACTTAAGATTAAAAATTATGCAGATAATTTAACTCTTATTAAGTCTCTGAAAATCATGCAGATATTATAACTAAAAGATATTTTGGGTATATTTCAATTTTGGAAAATAATATAAGTGAGGCTAGTTGTAAATGAGATTGTTAATGGTAATGTGAGGTTGTTAAAGGTTGTTCAACAGCTGCTAGTAATTTTTATGGGACATTTAATAGTTATATTTTTCATTGGCCAATCGGAAGGTAATCATGTTTTTCATTAGCTTGTTGGAAGGTAATTTAACTGGGTTTGTTGTTAGTGTTAGTTCAACTGCTGCTAAATTTAATGGTCTTTAATCAGTTTTTTTTTCAAATGGATTTTAGATAACTCTTACTTTAGATTCAATACCCTGAACCTGTTATAATTTGAATAGTTGTGTTAAAAGCAAGATATGGCTAAGATAAAACCAAACATATTATTACAAATATTTTAAAATAAAACTTTTTTTTAGAGTTTAACTCTATTTATTCAAAATATTTAATTTTATGATATTTTGAGGGAATATTAATACCCTTGTTATCATTAAAAAAAAATTTAAAATATACTTGATAATAGGGTTATCAATATTCCCTCGAAATATACTTGATAATAGGGTTATCAATATTTCCTTGAAATATACTTGATAATAGGGTTATCAATATTCCCTCAAAATATACTTGATAATAGGGTTATCAATATTTCCTCGAAATATACTTGATAATAGGGTTATCAATATTCCCTCGAAATATACTTGATAATAGGGTTATTAATATTCCCTCGAAATATACTTGATAATAGGGTTATCAATATTCCCTCGAAATATACTTGATAAAAGGGTTATCAATATTCCCTCGAAATATACTTGATAATAGGGTTATCAATATTCCCTCGAAGTATACTTGATAATAGGGTTATCAATATTCCCTCAAAATATACTTGATAATAGGGTTATCAATATTCCCTCAAAATATACTTGATAATAGGGTTATCAATATTCCCTCGAAATATACTTGATAATAGGGTTATCAATATTCCCTCGAAATGCCTTAATAAAAATATTTTTTAACAAATAGAGTTATTCTAATATTAATGTTTATATAACTAAAATTTTAAAAATGTCAATATTTAAAATTATTACAAATACTTATTTTCAAATATAGATTGTAGAGAAAGTGGTTTTTGAAAGTAATCATGTACAAAGCTTACTGAAGGTTTCAAACAAGCGTGTTAGTACATATTCCATTGCAGAAAAACATTCTAAGAAAGGTTTCATCAAATATTTTATTTTTATCTTTATATTTTATTTAAATGAATAATGATTTTTTTAAATAACTTTATTAACTTTACAAAAAAATTTTATGTAGAGATTAAAAGTCTTCAGGAAATGGTAACCAAGTTTCAAAATATGTTAGCAGATTATACCAGCATAAAAAGTAAACATTTTCAATTAAAATAATAACCTAATAATATAACTAATATTTGACATTATGGATATATTTTTACAAATACTATAGCTGAAAAAAATTTTGTTACTAAAGAATGTCAATTCAAAGTTGTTTTGTGTAAAATATTAAGGAACAAAATAAAAAATAAATACATTTTTACTTTTTTCATTAAGAGTTCATTGAGATGAAGTCTCAGTAATACATTCTGTTTCTTATCTTTATTATAGTATAATAAAGTTTTAGATGAACTTTGTTTTGCTTCTTTCTCTCAACATATGTATGTCGATATTCCAGGTGTAAATAGGTGTTAGATATTTGTTATATATTTGTTGCAAACATTTTGAAGCTATCCAACAATGATAATTGTATATTTGAAACTGATTCAAATTGTGCATAGGTAATCAGGGCTAGTTAAAATGATTCATTTCTGTCTACCATTAATTATCTTTACCTTCCAAATCTGAACTGGTCACACTAACTGCAATTCTTTCATAAATAATAGTCAAATTGTTTTTCTTTTTCAGGTTTTTATCTAGTTTTTTTTTGCTATCAAGAAGAATTATCAGTTTCTTTCTTTTCAATTCTGTCTTAGTTTCTTCTAGAGCAATTTGATTATATTTTTAAAATAATGTAGATTAATAAAGTTAAAGCTATTTTTAAAATAATGTAGATTAACAAAGTTAAAGTTGTTATTTTTAAAATAATGTAGATTAATAAAGTTAAAGTTATTATTTTTTCCTTCTGTAATCTTAATAAGTTTATTTCAACTCCAACTTTATTGTGTCAAACCTTTGAATGTCTTTGTGCTGTTACTTCTCATAATGCCGCTTAAGAAGATCTCAAAAAAATATAGATTTAGGATTTAACTCTTTCAAACCTTTCTTGCTTTCTTTGAGTGAATGTTGAAATCCTTCATTATCTTTGTTTTGTCATATCTGCCTTTGTCAGATTTTTGATTTCCAGAAAGAGCTGTATTTTTCATATTTGACAATTTTATTGTTCTCTGGTTTTTCTTTATTAAGCTAATGTTTAGGAGCATAATGAACATAATAATTTATGTTCTTTATGTATGTCTGTGTTCTGTCTGAACCTCTGGCGCGGTGTTCACTCACCCGTAAGTTACTTTATGTTTATGTTTATGTTTTTTATGTTTTTTTTATGTATGTTTGTGTTCTGTCTGAACCTCTGGCGCGGTGTTCGCTCACCCGTAAGTTACTTTATGTTTTTTATGTATGTTTGTGTTCTGTCTGAACCTCTGGCGCGGTGTTGACTCACCCGTAAGTTGATTTATGTCTATGTTTGTTTGTGTTCTGTTTATACTCTAATGCAGCGTGAGCTCAGTAGCTAACTACTTACTCCAACTACAAAACGTACACTCACCTTAGACTCCTGTATTTTGTTAGATGCAGTGTTTTTCCTAATGCACTTCCGAAATGTCATGCCTGGTTTTCTCAAAGTACTGTTGCGGGAAGTAACTCCTTTTAACTACTCCAGGTCAGGTCAGGATAATCGAGATCAATCTTGCTACTGGTATCACGTAACCCAGTACCACCTGCCACAAGCCCTGCTGCCTTGCAGAGTGTGCTCTTCTTATGCAAAGGCTAGGAGAAATAAACTCCGACTAAAAATTCCCCTGCCTTGGGGCTCTTGGTTGAGTAAAGGCTAGAGATGGTGTCTCGATAAAAACACTCATCTTGGGCAGATGTTAACTGCATCCAGCTAAACATCCCCTGCCTTGGGGCTCTTGGTTGAGTAAAGGCTAGAGATGGTGTCTCAATAAAAATACTCATCTTGGGCAGATGTTAACTGCATCCAGCTAAACATCCTCTGCCTTGGGGCTCTTGGTTGAGTAAAGGCTAGAGATGGTGTCTCGATAAAAATACTCATCTTGGGCAGATGTTAACTGCACCCTGCTACTGTCTTGTAGAAGGCCTCTAGGCAAAGACTTTAGGGGTAAGCAGAAAAATTCTGCTAACCAGCCTCGAACCCCTTCTTCATCTATTAGGCTGGCGTAGATGTAACCTGTGTTACATTGTTTCCTGCTTAGGATGATGAATGCTGGATCTCCTTGACTCTACTCATAGAATTTTGCTTATGCCTCCTTGATAATGGCTATGCAACTCTTCCTGTTATCTCCATATGAGGGTACAGCTCTAAAACTCAGTTTAATGGTTCTGAGGCCGGCTGGTAGTAAGGTTTCCCGAACTTTGTGATAGCTCTCAGAGAGGCTGATTCCATCAACAGCTGAAAAATATCAGAGTATTAACAGTGCCATGTTGCGCATGGATGGTGTCCCTGTTAATGCTTTTGGTGTGCATTGTCAAGGCCACATAAGGAGCCCTATGTCACGGCTTAGGGTTAATTAACAGGACTGAGACAACTGCATAGCTCATTGATTAGGAGGCTGTGCTCTATCTATGAATGAGTCAAGTTCTCATTAAACCCAAATCATGACCAAAGTAAGCAAAAATTTAAAACCTAAAAAACCATCCCCACCACCTAAATATTTTAATATATCTTTTACAAATATTCGCGGTCTACGAAGCAACTTTCCATCAGTTGAGTCTTACCTCCTGCAAAATTCACCAGACTTGCTTGCACTCAGTGAAACAAATTTAAGTTCTGCAATTCCTTCTTCAGACGTCAGTGTTGATGGGTACTATCCTTTGATTCGTAAAGACTCCAATAGTCACATGCTAGGTTTAGGGGTTTACATACGCATTAATTCCCCTATTTGTCGTGAAATCAGGTTCGAATCCTTTGACCATTCTTTTATGTGCTTTCGCCTAGCACCTCTTCACTCTATCACCTTTCTCTTCGTTCTTTATCGTTCTCCTTCTTCCCATGATTGCACTCTTTTAGATGTTATCTCTGATCAAATTGACCATGCCCTCTCTCTTTACCCCTCTGCCAATATTGTTGTTGTTGGTGATTTTAATGCCCATCACACTGAATGGCTTGGCTCTAACACCACTGATCCTGCTGGCACTAAAGCCTTTAACTTCTGCGTTTCTCAATCTCTTACTCAGATAGTTAACTTTGTGACTCGTTTTCCTGACAACCCTAATCATTTACCTTCACTCCTTGACTTATGTCTTGTCTCTGACCCTAGCTTATGTTCAGTTTCTGCCTTTTCTCCCTTAGGTGGTTCTGACCACGCAATGATCTCTGTAAATCTTTCTTCTCGTACTTCTTTTTTGGGCTCACCTTATCATCGCACCACCTACTACTACCCTAAAGCTGACTGGGATTCCTTTCGTGATTTTCTTCGTGATGGTCTTTGGGCTGATGTTTTTTCTCTCTCAGCTGACAAATGCGCCTCCTACGTAACCTCCTGGATTCAGGCTGGAATGGAAGCTTTTATTCCTTCTCGTCGGTTTCAAGTCAAGCCTCATTCTACTCCATGGTTTTCTCCTTCTTGTGCAGCTGCTATATCCAATCGTAACCATTTTTTTCATCTTTTTCAAAAGAACAACTCTCTTGAGAACAAACGGCTATTTATTATTGCAAGAAATCGATGTAAAAAGGTGCTTTCTGATGCTAAACTCCATTATTCTCAGTTCACTAAATCTCGCATTATATCGCAGAAGTTAGGCTCTAAAGACTTTTGGAAAATCTTCAACAACATTGTTAACAAGGGTAGATCTAACATTCCATCTCTCATTCATGGGACTGATCTTGTTACCTCTCCCAGGGATAAGGCAGAACTGTTTGCAAAGAACTTTTCTTCTAATTCCACTCTTGAATCTTATGGACATTCTCTTCCTTCCATTCCAGTCAAACATGTTGACCCATTGTTAGACATTCAAATCACTCCGGCTTCTGTTGCTAAAGTCATATCTCAATTAAACTCGTCTACAGCTTGTGGTCCAGACAACATTCCTGTCACAGTCTTGCAGAATTGTTCTCCAGAACTTTCTTCAATTCTCTCTAAACTATTTAACAAGTGTTTGACTGAGTCTTGTTTTCCTGCTTGTTGGAAAATGGCATCTGTGGTTCCAATATTCAAAAACTCTGGAGAAAATTCTGACCCCTCCAATTATTGTCCGATCAGTCTTCTTTCTGTTATTAGCAAGGTCTTTGAGTCTTTGATCAACAAATTCCTCACATCTCATCTTGAGTCAAATAAACTGCTGTCAGACAATCAATACGGTTTTCGATCCTCTCGCTCTACGGCCGACTTGCTAACTGCTGTAACTGAAAGATTTTATCATGCATTAGATGGAGGCGGTGAGGCTAGGGCTATTGCTCTCGACATATCTAAAGCTTTCGACAAAGTTTGGCATGCTGGTCTTCTCCATAAGCTTGCTTCATATGGTGTTTCTGGGAAAGTTTTTGAGATTATCAAATCATTTCTTTCTGACCGGTTTATTAAAGTCATCCTTGAAGGCCAACACTCTTCTTTATTTCCAGTAACTTCTGGGGTTCCCCAAGGTTCCATCCTGGGCCCTGTTTTGTTTCTTATCTACATAAACGATCTTCCTGACAACCTTTCATCTAAAGTAGCTCTTTTTGCTGATGACTCAACTTTATACTCCTGTCTTGACAAAAAGTCTTTTCTTTTCGATCGCCTAGAACAAGCAGCTGATCTTGAATCTGATCTCACTTCAGTAATAGATTGGGGTTCACAGTGGCTTGTGAATTTCAACTCTAAAAAAACCCAATTGCTTACTGCAAACAACTACCGTAGTATGGTCAACATTCCTATATTAATGAATGGCAATTCTCTTACTGAGTCGTCCTCTTTACGTCTTCTTGGATTATCGCTTACTACTGACCTTTCATGGAAACCATATATACAATCGATTGCTAAATTAGCTTCTGCTAAGGTTGCTTCTCTTTATCGTGCTCGCCATTTCCTTACTTCTGATTCCATTCTCTACCTCTACAAATCTCGTATTCGTCCCTGTATGGAATACTGTTGTCATATTTGGGCTGGTTCTTCTAACGATTCACTTTCTCTTCTTGACAAGGTCCAAAAACGCATTGTAAATGTTGTTGGACCTGGACTATCTGCTAAGCTTGAACCTCTTTCCCATCGTCGTAAAGTTGCATCTCTTTCTCTTTTCTACAGATACTATCATGGTCACTGCTCAAAGGAGTTATCATCTCTAGTTCCATCAACTAAAATTCATTCTCGTTTTACTCGTCATTCAGCTAAGTCTCATTTGTTTACTGTATCTGTCCCAGCATGCTCTAAAAACTTTTATTCATCTAGTTTTTTTCCCCGCACTTCAATCCTTTGGAACTCTCTCCCATCTTCATGTTTTCCTGACTCCTACAACCTTCAACTTTTCAAGTCTTCTGTCAACCGTTTCCTTGCTCTATAACTCTGTTCTTTTTTTTTCCTAGTAACTCCCAACTTAATAGTGGTTGCTTGCAGCCTTGTTGGGAGTGAATGCAAATAAAAAAAAAAAAAAAAAAAAAAAAAAAAAAAAAATAAAAAATAAATATAGAAACTGTTGCTGTTGTTTGTTCAAGTCTTTTATTTTATTAAAAATCTCAAGATAAGTGAACAAGTTTTTATGGTTTTAAAAAAATTTCAAATTTAAATATAATTTTAAATTTAAATATAATTTTAAATTTAAATATAATTTTAAATTTAGACATTTAAATAATTCTATTTTTGATATTTTCTGCTTTAATTTTGTTCGCTTGGTAATTAAAATTTTTCAAATTTTAATTATTTTTATTTGAATTTTCATGCTATATTTTTCTATACAATGTTCTCATATCCAAAGATATTGTTAGCTTAGCATAGGAACAGCCACAATTAGTCATTAAGACTAATCCAAAGTAGCATCTGTTATTGACCAACATTTGCGTACAGAAGTACTACTCAAGCGCTGAGTTGACCGTGGCAGGATTTGAACTCGTATTGTACAACAGTCTGAATTTTAACTTTTTGTTTGAGGCTCTAACCAACTGAGCTATCCTGCCACTTTTTTTTTAAAGTATCAATTTATAATTTTTATCAAATATTATGCAGATAATTTAACTCTTATTTTTATGTCTTATTTTTAAGTCTCTGAAAATTATGCAGATGTTATAACTAAAAGATATTTTGGGTACATTTCAATTTTGGAAAGTAAAATAAGTCAGGCTAGTTGTAAATGAGGTTGTTAATGGTAATGTGAGGTTGTTAAAGGTTGTTCAACAGCTGCTAATAATTTTTATGGGACATTTAATAATTATGTTTTTCATTGGCCAATCGGAAGGTAATCGTGTTTTTCATTAGCTTGTTGGAAGGTAATGTAACTGGGTTTGTTGTTAGTGCTAGTTCAACTGCTGCTAAATTTAATGGTCTTTAATCAGTTTTTTATTCAAATGGATTTTGGATAACTCTTACTTTAGATTCAATACCCTGAACCTGTTATAATTTGAATAGTTGTGTTAAAAGCAAGATATGACCAAGGTAAAACCAAACAAATTACAAATATTTTAAAATAAAACTTTTTTTTAGAGTTTAACTCTATTCATTTAAATTATTTAATTTTTATGGTGTTTTGAGGGAATATTAATACCCTTGTTATCATTAAAAAAAATTAATATTAATACTGAGGGAATATTAATACTGATTTTCAATTTAATACAATTAAATGAAAAAATAGTGTTAATAAGTTCTTTGGAATCAATTTATTGTGTCAGCAGTAGATGTGCAAAAACACTTTTTATGCAAAAGTTTTCAGAATCTCAATCAATTTAAAGCTTCGATTAACCAACAGTATCACAAATGGTCTTCAAAATTGGAATAAAATGACAGTTTGATGTCACATATCAACATCTTTCATGTTGTCCTAGTCAGGGGCGGATCCAAACCATCCTGTAAAAGAAGGGGAAATTTTATGTTATTTTGATTTAGTGAATTCTGACCATCTAGTAAGAGGGGAGGTTTTTTAGATTAGACGGTTCGTGGGCAGGTAAGGGTGCAAATCTTTTTATGATTTCATATCATTTTTTTGAGAAAATAATTTACAGTACACTTGCAAATCAAGTGTTATCAAGTGTTTTTTTTGTTATTTTTTTTATCAAATAGCAAACAACAAAAGTATAAAAATTTTCTTGTCACAATCAATACAATTTTTTTCTGGACTGTGGTCATAAAATAAAATTTTTTACTAAATGTAATAGATTTATGGGCTGTGATCATAAAATAAAGATTTTTACTAAATGTTATAGTTTTCTGGACTGATCATAAAGTAAAAACTTTTACTAAATGTAGTTTTCTGAGTGTGGTCAAAAATAAATTTTTTTTACTAAATGTTATAGTTTTCTGGGATCTGGTCATAAAGAAAAAATTTTTACTAAATTAAATTTTTTTTAAATTGTAAAGTTTTTCCATAGATTTTAGGTATAAGCCATTGAAATATATCTCTTGTAAGCCAGAAACAAAAATTGTGTTACATATTTCATAAACATTATGCTTTTTTAAGTGGCTACTGTTTATTTCTTTGTTCATATTTATTTAATAATGATCCTTTACAAGTTCTATTTTTCCATATTAAAATATACTCTTATTATATTAATTATTTATCATTAATATTAAAATATACTCTTATTATATTAACTATTTATTATTAATATTAAAATATGCTTTTATTATATTCATTATTTATTATTAATATTATAAAATATAATCAATGAACGATTAACTCTAAAAGTCATATTTAAATGAAAAAATGTTTTGAAAACCTGCAAATTAAAAAAAACCCTTTTTAACTTAAAAACAAATGAGGGATGTGAAGTTCAAAAAAAAAAGTTGAGTTCAAAAAATAATAAAATTAATTAGTCCAGAAATCTCTAAACTTTGTAAATTAAAAGAATTTCCTTGATAGTTTACAATCTTTATATTAAATTAAAAGAATTATATTTCCTTGATAGTTTACAATCTTTATATTAAATTAGTAAAACTAAATATAGATAAAATATAAAAATGAGATCTACTTGTTAACCTTTGATAAAGTAAAAAAAATATCAAAGAGCTATTATAACCATTGTTTATGTGTAATCATCAATCATATACTTGATGTCATCAATCATATGCAGATGACATCATGTATATGATTATATACATGATGTCATAATGGTGTATGAAATACACATAATAACATGCCATAATTTAACGTGTACATGCTGATTGTGCTGGGTATTATTACAGCTGAAGAAGAAAAGTACACAATATGACATTTCAAAGTATGCAATATGAAAATTAAAATAAAATATTTTGAAACTAATGGGTTTTTATATAGAGCTCTTTTTGTAGTTATTTTTCAACTGCAAAGGTAGGAAAAATATTAGACATTTACAAATTCTACTGACTTATCAGTTTAAAGCATGTGCGTTTAGGTTTTAAAAACAGATGTAAGCAACAAAAAAATTTGTGTTATGTCATTACATTTAGAAAAGTAAAAAGAAACTTGAGATTTTAACCAGTTTATTTAAGTTATTCAATTTTAGGACATAATTCCATAAACGCTTTTTTATAAATATGCAAGCAGTATGGTTTAATGGCTATTTTGATACGTTTTATCCATATCCATACTAGTAAATTGTTAATGACTATTGAAAAGTATATCATTCTAAACAGGATATAAAAACTTTTTGCATTTTTATTTGTATTTTAAATAGATTATATATTCTGTAATAAATAGTGACATCTTTATGAGCAATGTCACTGTATTTTGAATAGGTTATATATTCTGTAATAAATAAGTACATCTTTATAAACAATGTCACTGACTTAGTTAGAGTCCAAGTTATAAACACAAGTTATAAATTTTTCTATTTTGTATATCTAAAATAAAAAAAATGCACCTAAAATTTAAATCTTAAACATGGCCTTACATTTATGCCATCCCATAAATTGAGTGTGGCTATCATTAAATGACACATGCAACTCCCATCAAATTTTCTTGTCAGGGGTTTTAAGTCTTTCAGGTATTTTTTATGGGGATGAGTTTATAACTTTCAATTTTGAAAAGAGAGTTTGGAGACTATTTTATAACTTTCAGTTTAAAAAAAGAGGTGAATCTCTTTAATTGTGAAACATTTTTTGAAATAATTTTTTGAATAATTATTTATTACTTATTTAAATCTTTAGCTTTTCTTTATTTATTTAGCTTTTTATTTTGTTTATTTAGCTTTTGTAATTGTTAAGTTAATTTATTATTAAACTAATTATTATTAAATTGTATTAAAATGTAGTGAGCAAATTTATTATTTTAAAAATGCAAGTAAAAAAGTTAATAACATGAAAGTTTTGAAAAAATTGTTATTATCTCATATAATTACTATTATATCTTATGTAGTTCTATTAAGCACCGACAAAGTTCGTTTAACTTTGCCAATCAAAGTTTATCAAAGTTGAATAGCAAATATTCGTTTAACTTTGGTACTAAAGTTTAACTATAAAGTTTAACATTACATTAAATCTTCAGTAGTTATAATACTGAATTATCATAATTATGATATGTATCATAATTATGATATGAATTATCATAATTATGATAATTATGATATATAAAAATAAATTTATAAATAAAACTATAAAATTGAAAAAAAAAAAACTTACTAACACCTTTTTTCAACTCTCTGACTCCAAAACATTAACCTTAAAGAAAGAGGCCAGTATGGAGGAACAAGTTGTTGTAGTAGTTGACATATACTGTAGGTTATCTATCATATTGATAACCTACGGTATATTTATATTTATAAATAGTGAGAATTAAGATGTTGAAAAAAAATACAATTGTTTTAAATCTTTTCTCTGTTGTTTATTTATTTAGATGAAGCAGTGTTTTTGAAAGAAGTTGTTAAAGAATTAAAAGAAAAAGATTTTCAACTTCATCAGGTTATTTGATAATTTCATTAGGTTATTTAATAATTTCATCAGGTTATTTGATAATTTCATCAGGTTATTTGATAATTTCATCTGGTTTTTGATAATTTGCATATATTATTTATGTTTTATTCAGTGTTTTCAATGGTTTTTTGTTTTGTTTTGTTTTACGAAAGTAAAAATGTTTATGTTATTAATGTATATGTATATTAAACTTTTTGATATACTTTTATTATTAGATTCTACAAGAAAATAATGAAAAGTTTGTTTCCCAAATATCAAATTTAAAAGAAAAGCATAAAAATGAAATTGAAAATATTAAAATAGAAGCTGAGCAGTTGTGTCAGTTTTTCTTTCCACTTTGTTTTCTTTTTTACCTAACTCTGTTTTCTTTTTTACTCTGTTTTCATTTTCTTTTTCACTCTGTTTTTTTAATAAAAATTTTTTTTTTTTTATAAAACATTTTATAATACTTTGAAATAACTCAGCACGCAATGAAATGTCTGCTCATGAGTCTAGATTAAAGTGCTTAAATGAACAAATTAACAAAATCACAAAAGAGCTTGCTGATAAAGAAAAAATAAATCAACATAATATGGAAAAAGTAACATTAGAGGTAAGTTTGGAAATTGTAACACAAATATGAAAATATTTAAAAATATATGTATATTGAACATAATTATGTGTATATCAAGCAACAGGCTTAGGTACATGATTTTTAATATTCAAGACTTTCAGTTATAGTGTTAACTTTAAACCTTTGTATGCCTTATGTTATTTACATATGTTAAGAAATTTGCAGTATTTCAAGATTGAGAACAAAATAAATCCCAAAATGTTTCTGTCAAAAAAATTAATTTAAAAAAAAATTACCTATTTCTCCTAAATAATACTTTTTAATGCATTCTTTATAAAGTTTTAAATTTGTTAAAAAATTTTTACGTTATATATTATATATACATATAATATAGGAAAATATATTATACAAATATATTATGTAAAAATGTATGCAAGAATGCATTTATATAAACATTTATATTTTTTTTTTTGTATTTAGTATGAAATGAAAATGAGTTCTCTTCAGCAACGTCATTTTGTACATATAAACACTTCTTCTGTTTCTAATCAATCTAGAAATGATATTTTCCGAAAGGTAGTATTTCTTTTGCTTGTTCTTCTGTCATAATATTGCAAGTAGATTATTATAGTGATTCTTTCTTAGTTGTTAATAAAAACATTAGATACACAAAGGGTTGTAAACAGATTGCCTCAGACTTAATACTAATAGAAAAATAATTTTGGTTATGGGTATACTTTTTGTATAGTTGTTTTGCTAATTTTATTAGATGCCAATATTTGTCTCATATTGCTCTCATATTTTCTATATAAGTAACTGTTTTTACAAAATATATTTTATATTTAATGTTTTTTTGTTTTAATTTTTAAATGGTTTTTAATTTCTAATTAATTTTAATATTGTAGGGATTCCTTCTAAAGTTTCAACACTTTTATTAATCATTTGTTTTAACAGTTTTATTAATTATTTGTTTCAACACTTTTATTAATTATTTGTTTTAACACTTTTATTAATTATTTGTTTCAAAACCTTTATTAATTATTTGTTTCAACACTTTTATTAATTATTTGTTTCAACACTTTTATTAATTACTTGTTTCAACACTTTTATTAATTAGTTTGACACATTTGCTTTGGTTTTTTTTTAAACACTTTTGTTATTGTTTTAAAATCTTTGTTATTTAACATCTTGTTAAGGAGTCAATGACACCTACAACTGCATTAGGAGTTATTGTTCATTTTTAGTACTTGTTATTAAGTATAAACAATTCTTTTTGGTATAAGAATAAATTTCCATTTACAAACTGTGTTTGTCTATTGACACCTTCAAGTGCATTTACAAACTGTGTTTGTGTATTGACACCTTCAATTGTCGACGATTAACAAATAGTTTAATCTGTGTTTGAAAACATTTCAATCTGTATCTGAAAACTGTTTTTGATTTATTAGGATTTGATTATCTTCAAAACGCAAAAACATTTTTTGATCTAATTTGAATTCTATTAATAATTTTAATTAAATTTAAAAAAATCTTTTAAAAAATATTGTTTTCCTCACAACCACTAAATTTGAGGTCAATAAATCTGGAAAGGAATCTGGAATCTATGGGGAGTAATAAGTAGAATCTATTTTTAATTGCAACCTTTAAATAAGCAAACTCAATTGGCACTGCATAAATACATGTTTGAGGTTTGACTTTGTTTTAAATAAAAACTGTTTTTTCATAAAAACTCAGCCCTTTTACAGCAACTGAAGGCTTTAAAATTTTTTTTTTTAATTGTAACTATTTCTAACTTAGTCATTGTGTAATTTTTAAACTCTATTACAACTCTTTATTTTATTCTTATTTGCATATTTATTCTTATTTGCATAAAAATTATTGCATATTTTATAAAAAAGGTCAAAAAACGTGTTTTTGCCTAGAAGTCATTAAAAACTTTAGCACAAAAACGACTGCAAATAACCTTTAACCTAATATTTTAATACCTTTAACCAGACATTAAGGTTTACTTTTTAATTTAAATATAGTTATAAACATAAATATATGAAAATGTGTTACATATTTTTTTCATTTTATAGGCATTTACTATACGTGTAAACTCATAACAAATCAAATTTTATTAACAAAATTCAAATTTTATTCAAAAACGTTTTGAAGTGGTAACATTGTAAATTTTATGACCCCCTCAATTGGGGAGAGTGTTTTTTAAATCACAAAAATTTGTCTCAAACAAAGTTAAGAGATCTTAAAAACATCTCTATATGTACTCATAAGCTCTATATAATCCTTCTAATAAATGATTTTTTTGGTCCTTTCAGATGAGGTTGATTGTGAATTTTACAGGGTGTGGTATTTGGATGAAATTTGGAACCCAGATTAAGAATGACTACTATTTAACCTGTTAACACCCATAAATGAACCTAGTTTTATGAATAGAAATTTTTTTAATGGTAGAAAATGGAGCACCTGCAAACTGAAATGTTAAAAGAAACAGAAGATTTAAAGAGTAAAAATAGTGAATTGCAACAAAGACTTGTTGATGCACAGCATCAACTAAAAGTGCAGAGTAAACAATTTCAAGACCAGAGTAAGCAGTACCAAGATCAAATTAAACAGTATCAAGATCAGGTATGTTTTTTTTATTTTTTCATTAAAAAAAAAGTCCTTTACACATTTTAGGGCAGAAATATTGCACCTGCAATAATTTACAAATCAGCAATAGTTTGAGTTTTTGAGTTACAGTAGCAGGGACTCCAATTTTAATCGATTTGAAAAGTACTATCCATCCTTTTTAATTACCGGCATTATGCATCTGAGTTTAGTGGCTTTGGGTTTAGAAAAATTACTTTTAAATTTATCTCAACCTGGGTTTCATTTATATAATTAGATCCGGTTCTAGTTTTTCAGCATTATAACGGATGGCAAATAAAATTTTGATTAAAGTTTACTTAATTATATTTAAATACAAATTGTACAATTTGTATTTATATTTTTGAGGCAATACTACTATATAACACTTTTATATATACTTTAATATAAAAGTTATGATCTCAATTTAAGTATTATTAAGAAAATACCAGGATAATGAAGTGAAAAGAAGTTTTTTTTATTAAATTTTTTTTTTTTATTAAACAATTAACAAAAATTGGGTCCTTAGAGGTTGTTTATAAATTATGTCACATTTATTAATAAACCTTTTGTTTGTTGTGAGCACACCGTGTTGAGATTGTAAACAAAATAAAAGCTGATATCAAGACATGCTTTTCCTAGATATGTTTCAGCTAGATTATTCAATGGAACAGCCAAACTGATGAACTGACAACAAAATTTCACACTCTCTATCATAGTCTTTTGGTGTAAAGCAAAGGCCTATTGTTGCAAAAATATCAAATGGAACTAGATGGTCTAAAATACTGTTGTTACTACCTTAGGAGATTGGAGTTTAATAGTAAAAGTTTTTTAAAAACTAAAGCTGGATCAGAAGTTCCCTTATGAAGACCTATGCACATGGAATGGTCAAATAGGCTATCATTCAGCTAGAACAGGGTGAAAAGTATTAAAGATGCTAAATGTATTAAAGAATGCAAAACCAGGAATTGCTCTTATTCAAGAATATAATTCAAAAATCATCTTATGATGTAGGTCAGGTTCAGTTTCTCTTGTAAAGAGGAAATAAAGCTGTCCTTCATCTCATAAAGTAAAAAGAACACACAAATAAGTAAAAAAAAAAAAAAAAGTGAACACTTGAATTTATTATTTAATAAGAATATAATAAGAATTATGATTCGATATTAACAATAATAATAGTTATGTTATTTTTGTTTAAAAAAAAATGTATAAATAAGATTTAGTCCATCTTATTACTGAACAATAATTACATCAGATGTGAAAAACAGAGAGGGGGTGGAACCATACTTCTCCCTTTATTTAAAACTAACAAAAATTTTGTTCCTTAACTGAAATTAAGTTAATAAGTAAATGGAAAAGCAAAACTTTAATATTCATGTAGATGATTTATTTACAACAAAGGCATGTTATACGACTGATTACTGTTACATCCAAGGATTATTTTATGGTAGTTAAAGTTTACTTTTATCTTTTATCAATATTTATAAAATTTTTTAAGACTCAGTCTTATGGTTCTGAGGCCGGCTGGTAGTCAGGTTGGAGAGGCTTTTGAGAGGCTGGTTCCATCAACAGCTGTAAAATATCAGATTGCTAACAGTGCATGTTGCGTATGGATGGTGTCCCTGTTTTGAGGCCACATTTGGAGCCTTTTGTTATGGCTTAGGGTTTATTAATGATAACGAGGCAATTGCTTGGGCTATCAAATAGCGTACTGAGTGCTATCTATGCTTTGAGTCAAGATCTTTAAAAAATATAAAAATGTACCAAAAACTAAAGTACCAAAAACTATAAAACACAAAAAACCATCCTTATCACCAAGTTCTCTATCATTCACTAATATTTGTAGTCTTCAAAGTAACTTTTCTTCTATTGAGTCTTATCTCTTACAAAGTTCACTAGACCTACTTGCTCTTTGTGAGACTAATTTGAGTTTGGCTGTCTCATCTTGCAATCTTAGTGTTGATGGTTATCTTCCTTTATATTGTAAAAACTCCAATAGTCACATGTTTGGCATGGGCATTTAAACTATTCTTTAATGTGTTTTTGTTTAGCACCAAGTCACTCTATCACCTTTATCTTTGTTCTATATCGCTCTCCTTTATCTCAAGACTCTTCTTGATGTACTCTTCTTGATGTTAGTTCTGATCATATTGACCAAGCCCTCTCTCTTTATCCATCAGACAATATTGCTGTTGTCGGTGACTTTAATGTTCATAACACTAAATGACTTGGCTCTAATGTCAGTGACTCTGCAGGCATTAAAGCCCACAACTTTTGCCTTTCTCAATCTTTAACTCAAATAGTCAACTTTCCAAGTCGTTTTTTCATACAATCCAAATCATTTACCTTCTCTACGCGACTTATGTCTTGTTTCTGATCCTAGTCAGTGCTCAGTTTCTCCACATTTACCCTTAGGTGCTTCTGATCACGGTTTTATCTCACTAAAACTATTATCTCATTCTTCTTCATCATCAGAATCCTCCTATCATCGTACCTCTTTCAACCTTAAAGCTAACTGGGACTCTTTCCATGATTTTCTTTGTGATGGCCCTTGGGTATAAATCTTTCATCTTCCTGCTAATAAATGTGTTTCTTACATAACTTCTTGGATTCATGCTGGCTTTGAATCTTTTATTTCCTCTTGACAATTCCAAGTCAAGCCTCACTCTTCTCCTTGGTTTACCTCACATTGTGCGCCAAAGCCCGCTATTCTCAGGTCATGAAATCTCATATTTTATCTCAAAAATTAGGCTCTCGTGACTTATGGAGAATCTTCAACAGTATCAATAATAAGGGCCACCTCTCTTGTATGGTTCAGATTTTGTCACCTCACCTAAAGAAAAAGCTGGTTTGTTTGCTAAAAACTTCTCATCCATATCGTCTCTTGATTCCACTAGTCACATACTACCTGATATAGCAGACTAACAGGTTGATCCATTGCTTGATGTTCGTATCACCTTTCTGTAAAGTGATTTCCTGCTTCTACAGCTCTTCTTCTACAGCTTGTGGTCTGGACAACATACCTGTTGTAGTCTTGCAAAAGTGATCTCAGGAATGTCTATACTTGTCTATAAATCGTCGTCTATATTTTCAAAACTATTTAACAAGTGCTTATTGGAGTCTTTCTGGCATGCTAAAAACCGGCTTCTGTTTTCAAAAATTCTGTAGAGTAATCTGACTCATCTAACTACCGTTCTATTAGTCTTCTTCCTATCATAAGCAAGATTTTTGAATCTTTAATTAACAAACTCTTAATCTTAAATCGAATAACTTACTTTCTGATCTCAATATGGATTACAATCTTCTTGTTCTACAGCTGATTTGCTAAAAGTAATAACCAATCGGTTTTATTGTGTATTAGATAGATGTAGAGGTTAAGGCTATCGCTCTTGACATTTCTAAAGTTTTTGATAAAGTTTGGCATGCTGGTCTTTATTATAAGCTTTCTTGTTAGGGTGTATCAGGTAACATCTTTAAATTATTGAAATCTTCCTTTCCAATTGTAGTCTAAAAGTTGTCCTCGATGGACAGCACTCTTCTTCATTTCCTGTCTCTTCAGGGGTTCCTCAAGGTTCTATCATTGGCCCTATACTCTTGGAGAGGGCATTTAAGCTTGAAAAGGATATCACTTTTGCTACAACATGGGCTCACAGTGGTTGGTGAACTTTAATTCAAATAAAACCCAATTTTTTTTAGCCAATCGTTATCACAATAGTCTAGATCTTCCTATATTTATGAACAGTAATGTACTTGATGAGTCTTTATCAATTACATTACCAGAGTTGCATTTCTTTATTGTGCTTGCCACTTTCTTACACTGGATTCTATTCTTTATCTCTATAAATCTCAAATCCGTCTTTGTATGGAATACTGTTGCCATATCTGGGGCAGATCTTCCAATTATGCCCTTTCTCTTTTAGACAAGGTGCAAAAACGCTTTGCATTCATAGTTGGACCTGCTCTTGCAGCCAACCTTCAACTATTATCACATCGTCGTAATGTTGCTTTTCTTTTTCTTTTCTACAAATACTATAATGGGCACTGCTCTAAAGAGCTAGTGCCTTCTTGTGATATCTACTCATTCTTGTGTTACTTGTCATTCAATTATATCTCATCCTTTTACTGTGACTATTCCTATGTGCTATATTTGTCTAGTTTTTTCCTCAAACATCAGTTCTTTGGAATTTGCTTACTTCATCTTGCTTTCCTGATTCATATAATTAGCATTCTTTTAAGTCATCAGTCAATTCTTATCTTGCTCTATAAACTTCATCTTTTTTCTTCCAGTAACTTCCAACTCTAATAGTGCATGCTTGCAGCCTTGTTGGATGCAAAGATGTTAAAATAAAAAAAAATATTGTTTATGAAAGAATTTATCATTTTTGCATTAACAGCTTCATAATTCAAATTATTCTAATCTTAACTAAATCGATTTATAAAAAAGTTGTCTTGCATTACTGATTAAGTACTTTTTTCTGTTTTCGTATATATTTGTGTTGCTTTTTTTTTGTGAAGCTTTTCCAAATGATTTTTATCCTGCTGTTGTTGAAGATTATAAACTGAGATAGCATAGTCTAAATAGTCTTACAAGCTATGTATGTAATACTTTCATGATGGTAACATTTTTCTAAAAGCTCCATTAATTATCCTCTAAGTTCTGTTGTTTAGTTTGCTGCTTTTATAACTTGGTTGTGCTGTTTTAGCTTATTTGTTATAAGAATACCTAGATCTCTTTCTGTTTCAGTTTCTTGTAGTACTATATGTTAAATTTTCAGATCTCTTTCTGTTTCAGTTTCTTGCAGTACTATATGTTAAATTCCCAGATCTCTTTCTGTTTCAGTTTCTTGTAGTACTATATGATAAATTCCCATATCTCTTTCTATTTCAGTTTCTTGTAGTTTATTGTAGTATGTTCATTAGTCATATTTATCATAAAATACTTACTTTTTTTTTTCCTTTCCTGAAGTGCATAACTTCACATTTTTTTCAATGAAACACAT